CCCGCCCCCCTGTCCCCCCTCCTCCCCCCCCGCCGCCGCCGCCGTCATCGTGAGGTTGGTCGAGAGCGCCTACCCGAAAGTTCTGGTCGGCAAAACAAGTTTCGGGTGTGTGTGATGACGAAGGATTTTGTTTTCGGTAGCAAATCATTTGTCGGCTTTTCAGGCCTTTTTATGTCCGAACTTCAAAGGCTTATGCGCTGGGAGCCGGGGATGGGTAGGTGGGTGGGTAGGCAAGGGGAAAACTCTTGACCTGATCTGGAGCTTTTGTCGTGCGTGGTGGCACTACTTATACCCTGTAGGGTGTTCACACATGATTCTTTCGCTCACCTTGGCAGGCATCCATTGCCGCAAGAACATCAATGAGCAGTAGGGTAGCTTGGCCGTCGCAGATGGCGTGCACGTGTGGATCAGTTGGTATTTTGGTTGGCCCTCTTTTGTGTCTGTTGACCCTTGTCGCCGAAGTAGAAGTAGGTGTAAGTGGCAATCAAAAAGTCGTTCCGTGGCCGTCCTTGATTTGATATCTTGATGTCCTTGGAGTGCTTTGCTGCCGAGCTCACTTTGAGCGGCGCAAACCCGGCAGGTTAACTATTTTGTTGTTTTGCCGGGCTTAAGATATGTTGGTTCTTGCTTGGGACAATCGAGAACGCAAGGTCGGGGCCTTTAGTCATCCTGTCAGTTTTTGGTTGCCGCAGGAGGCGACCGTCACGTCTTGTCAGGCTCATGGTTGCTTCGCTTTGACCATCGATACAATATTTACGGGACGGTTAATGCTTACAGGGAGTGGTGTGCACGAAAGGTTTTGAGAGAGGGTTGCGTGTTTCAGGGGAACGAGTCGGGGGAGTGTTTCAGGAGCACTGCCGGTTTTGGAAAAGCAGTTGACGGAGGGGTTTCCGGTGAGGGGTGGATGGATTCAAGGCAGGCTATATTTGGTTGGATTGACCCTTGTACGATGTTGCTGCACGATACGAAAACGAACGGGTAGGCAGTGGCAGCATGCATGGAGCTGTGTATCCAAGTAGTAGGAACAGGTGTCCATGTCATTTTGAGGAAACAAGTAAGACACAGAAGACGGGCCCTCAAGATGGGGGGGGTCGAGTCGATGCCCATGTGTATTCCTCTGAGATTCATTTGTCCGTTCCAATTGCATGCTGGAGCACCGCCTGATCGAAATCGGGCTGCAACATCCACGCTCATTTACTTCGGGTATGAAGCCGCACGCGCGTCTATCGGAAGTTGCTGTAATGTGGCCTTGTTCGTAAAATAACCCGGTGAAAATTCATCGTCCACTATACAATAGAGGGCTATCAAGTTCATGCGATGACGCTGCAAACAAGGTGTTGAATGAGAAGCCTATTTTTCTTCAAATCCTGGCATATCTACACTGCATTTACTTTTCCTGAAAAGAATATCTACACTCCCACAGCAGCCTACAGCAGCAGCACAGTACGCGGTATGCTTTACGACGGGTTGCAGCGCACAGACGATTCAAGTCCCAGCATGCTTTGCACGGGCTCAGCCATAGGATTTAGTGTTTGCTGTCGCCTCTAGGTCACCTGTTCTTGCTTCCATACGAAGAAAATTCTGAAGACTTAGCTTAGTCTAAGCTTCTCAGACCAATATCCGTGGGTGGGTGGAAGTTTCATTCGACTCGCGCACCCCTTGCCCGACCGGGCCCGGAATGCTGATCTCGAGCTACTAAGCAAATCTCGCGGAGTGTCGAGTATGGTTCCGTGGGGAATCGTTGTTTCAGGATCTTCATCGCGGTCTGGACGCCTCCATTCTTCAGTCACTTGTTTTGATGTGTTCGTGCTCGAGCAGTTGCGGCTTCCCGAAAAAAAACAAGGAAAGCTTCAGACAGGCAACGCCGACGAAACTCGTCGAGGAGTTGCACATCAATCGAAAAAGGTGGTTGTTGCTGATGGAACAAACAACGAGCGGGAGGCAGGCGAGCCTACGCAAACACGAGGGGGTTTACTGTAGGCTCGGCAATACCAAGGAAGGGGGGTAAATTCCAAGGGAAGCGTGTTCTCATTCACGCTTTTGCTGTCTATAAACCTTTTGTCGCTGGCACGCGGGCCTAGCCAGCCTTCGTTTCACAGCAGCTGCGAAGGAACGATCCCCGTAGGGTTGCCTAGCAGGCGGCTAACCACGTTGCGTACAGCCGCACATGAAGATGCCACGTTGCGTGTGTAGAAGCGCGTTCCACATCTAGACTAGTCCAGACCTATAGCACCTCAGGGTTGCACATTCCTGTTCACAAAACTCGCGGGACACAGGAGGCAGCAGCAGCATGACTAAGCAATCACGTCGTGTTTTCGGAAGAAAAAATGGACATCGAACTAGGAAAAGCAAGTACAAACTCAGAAAGACCACCAATTTGATATGTAACCACAGTCGAATGGCATGTAGACTACACGCAGACATTTTACATCAGCACCTGCTGAGCAGCCTGTAGACTACTCCGTGTAGATCGCAAATCTACATCACGTCACATACGAGAGAATTCTCAGAGGGCATGTGTTGCAGTCACCGCCTGGAGAAGAAAGGGGATGAACAGACGGCAGTTCTCCAGCTAATATGCATCTAATTCGTTCGGAGCTCGGAGTGCTCATGTGTCTTGAGATGTGTGAGCTTGTCGAGCCTTGTCGGCATCGATTGTGATGCAGCGCGGCGTAATTGTAAATATACGTACTTAAACTACGTACTTGCATCCCAACGGTAACATAATCAAATGAAGGGGTATGTACATTGTCCCAGCTACGGAACCCCTTCCTGCTGCTGCTTTGGGTTGAACCTGCCTTAGGAAGGGGCGACAGAGACACGACTCACCCTCAGACCAAACGCTGTGCTACCTCGCGATAGAAAATCAAACAATACGAAGGATTCCTGAGCGAGCTTGGTTGTCTTGACGCGTATTCCACCAGAAGCTCCTGTTCGAATCACGGGTTGAGTCTCTCCGCTCTCTGACGACACCTCCTTGTGTTTTTGAACTTCAACTCGCTCGAAATACGCCGAAGAAAAGAGGGGGTACTGGAACAAGCACCACCACCAGCGGCTCCGAAAGACGATGCAGGCTACACTGCGGTTAGGGGGCTCCTCGGTCGCCCGGGGGCTCCCGCGGAGGTCTCGCCCTCCTTCGCTGGCGGCGCTCTCCTCTGCCTGGGCGGACCCCACGCCGTGTTCTCACAACGGATTTGCCGGTACCTCGGCAGTGACCTTCGGATCCCGGCACCACCTCGGCTCGAAGGCACCGGCCGCGAGCCCTCCCGTCCACGCCACCCCGCACTACATGGACTACGACACCCTAGTGGACATGCACCTCATCACGCGCCAGAGCTTCGGGAACCGGCCCCTCTTCGGGACCCAGAAAGGAGACAAAGATTCGCCGTTCGAGTGGCTCACGTACAAGGAGTTCGGCAAGCAGGTGGATCGATGCCGAGCCGCGCTGGCCAGGCTAGGGATCACCCACGGCGACACCGTGGGGATCATCAGCAACAACCGGGAGGAGTGGGCCGTGTGCGCGTACGCCACGTACTCCCTAGGCGCAGTATTCGTGCCCATGTACGAGGAACAGGTGAGCGAGCGAGAGAGAGATCCCGTTAATTTTGGGAATCGAGCCAACGATCTACCGGTGCCGTGTGCACCAGGACCAAGGGCATCACTTCGGGTTTTTGGTCTTGGTGCGTGTATACTGTCGTACTATCGTCGTCTACTCTAGTACGAAAAAAGTCTGTATAGTTCGATGTCGCCAACGTGGGGCGCGATTGGAAAGGACACCTTTTCTTCTAGCCTGACATTTACCCATCATGACTGAGTGAGCTTTGGTTACTCCTCTACGGAATTTTCGCGAATTTTGTTGGAAAAATTTTGTATCGGATAGAAAGGGTGTCGAGTGCTTCAACTTGAGCTTGAGGGAGGGGGCCCGACTGTCAGCCCCCTCTGTAAGGAGGTAAGCGCAAGCAACGCAACTCAAGCTGCTCACGTACGTCCGAGTAGCGGTACGGGAAGGGAGGGTGCTGATCCCTGTTGCTTGAGCAGTAGGCTAGAAACTTCGTGTGTCTCGTAGATTCTGTTTCGAAGATTGAAAGCCTACAGCTCAGTATCATGTGGATGGCAGGTCGAGGTGTATCAACGTCTGTTCACAGTGTGAAGGGAAGCCGCATCTGTTTAACATACCCCGGATCGGACTTGAACGGTTGCCCAGGGCATCGGTGAGACCGGAATGCTCCATACTACTTGCGCAGCTGCACTCTGTTTTGCTGCTGACGATAAACTTCATAATCATTTCATCAGCCAACAGCAGTAATTATTGAAATCTGGCACCGAATACATGAAAAAGGGTTTCTCTGGCCGACGAATTGCAGTTTTCTCTCCCTCTCGATCGGCTCGGCCAGAGATGCAGTTCTGAACGATGCTTCGAAAACAAGGATTGCTCCAAGAACAACATCTCCAGGCGAAACTGATGTCTCCGTTTGGGGCAAAACGTGGTTTGAAGCTGCGGAGTCACGAAGGAATCACGGTTTCGTTTGCATGCGTCCGCGTCAGTTGAACTAGTGCCACTTGTGTTCGCAGGTACAAGTCGGAACGCTTTCTTAACAACTACTACGTCCACAACATCAACTGCTGTGTGTAGCCGTTGTGTCTCGACAGTTTCTAAACATCACGCTGCGTGCTAAACAGTGTGCAAATAGCACTTCCTCACAGCCAGTGGCTAGCGAAGTGACTTGGAAAGCTTAGAGCGCACACGTTGATGGAGTCACGTTGATAAGAGCCCGATAAAAAGCTCTAAAAACTTCACAATATTCGAACGTCGTTGCCCTGCCGCCCTCGATATTGTATGATAGATATGTACCGCAGACGAGGAAAACATGTCGTCATGCAGGGCGTAGGCCGCAATATGGCCCATAACGACTGCCTTTTGTCTACTTCAACAGCGCACATATATATTTTTTGATCGGTTTCCGAGGGCTCTTTTCTCGAACGGTCGGTGCGATACCTGTTATTTTCTTCGTATCATTTTGTTTTCTTTTTCCGAGTGGTTTGTACCCTATTTTTGTTTTGTTTCCCCGCGGCGTTGTTTGTGCCGGGTGTTGAGACCACGGGCTCCCCATTTTTTTGTGCACTATAGAGCTAATGTGAGAAACAACAACAACAACAACAATATATATGGAGGACGTGTGTGCATACGAACATGATCTGCGAACCCTCTTCGCCAACCTGTTACGGTGCACGTGACGCGAAAACAGCGCCCTCAAGACTGGCGTTACATTCTGGAGGACTCGGGAGCCAAGTGCCTGTTTGTGGCGACGAAGGGCATCTACAGCGAGACCTTCCACTTCGCCGGAGTGCAGGGCAACGTGCAGAACGTGTTCTGCTTCGACCAGCCCGCCGGACAGCCCGGGTCTTTCAAGGACCTTCTCGATTCTAGTGCTGGTGAGGGCGCTGTTGGGAGGGGAGGGAAAACGATAGAGAAGGGAAGGACAGAGTTATATAAAAAGCACTCCAATATATGAAGCATAAAGGTTCATTTGCATTCATTTAATATTTACGCGTACTTGTCGTAGACATACATGATTACGAACTCATGTTTTTTTACCGTAGGCCGTCGAATGTCTGATGTTTGGCCTTGTCCCTGGGAGCGAGGAACCACGAAAGGAATACCCTTGATCGGTCGAAGCGCCATGGTGCTGGGTGCCCTCGGGAGGAAAAAGGAGACAAAAGCCTGAAAAAATAGAAACTTCTTGTAACACGTTCGGATGAGACACAGATAGCGCAACAGGCTTCATGCGCACCGAAACGCCGCTTTCCGTCTTATGGTGGAACAAGTCGGCTCATTGTTGCGCTCTCCGTTCGTCGCCGCTGCCGCCGTGCCTCTTGCTCTACGCGATCTTGAAGAGGAGAAGGTGCCGGCGTACATTCCTGACCCTAGCGAGCTGGCGACGCTCATCTACACGTCGGGTACCACGGGCAAGCCGAAGGGGGTGATGCTGTCGCACGGCAACATCATCTCCAACATTGTCGGCATCAGGGCCATCCTGCCCGAGGACCTCGTGTCCTGTCACGATCGCTCCCTCAGCTTCCTGCCGTGGGCGCACTGTGAGTGTGTGCTGGCGTTGCTCCGCCGGTGTCACTGCTGTTGTTGTTGTTGTTGTTGTTGTTGTTGTTGTTGTTGTTGTTGTTGTTGTTGTTGTTGTTGTTGTTGTTGTTGTTGTTGTTGTTGTTGTTGTTGCTATTGCTGGTGGTGGTGAAACGTGTTTTTACTCGTTTCCTTTGGTACCCCCACCACGTACATTTCCTCCCCAGAACGTAAACCAAGTACGCAAACGGCTTTCTCATATGATGTTGACTTTGGTGGTCGGTTGCGCCAGGCTACGGGCAAACGGCGGAGCTCCACGCGCTGATGGCTCACGGCGCCTCGATGGGCATCTCGAGGGACGTGACGGCACTGCTGGAACAACTAGCTGAGGTGAAGCCGACCCTGCTGTACGCCGTGCCGCAGCTGTTCAAGAGGGTCTGCGACGCCATCCACGCCAAGGTAGCCGAAAGCAGCCCGACCAAGCAGTACCTTTTCAAGAGGGCGCTTCAGACGGCCCACCGGCGGAGGAAGCACATCGAGGCCGGGGAACCCGTGGGAGCCGCCCTTGAGCTGCAGCACCGCCTTCTCGACCAGGTGAGATTGAAACACGCCTCGCGAGAATAGGTTTCCGTGCGGTCGTCAAGCCGGCGACGGCGACATCTCGCCTCGGTGGAGAATGTGCACCGGATCTTGTATCGCTAATCATAACGCCATACGTTTCCCTGAACGGTACAATGTCGCTAAGTCGCCGAAAGTCCGTGTTGCAAGAGTAGAAGCGGCAGATGCAACCTTCAAAATCCCAGCCTCTACCTGAACGCAACGTCGCTTGCGGGAATACCGTGATATAGAGAACGGTAGTAGAAGAGATGTCAGATGGATGGTTCGCTGCTTGCTGTCCTCCGCGCGTGTGCTTGTGCTAGAGACCATACTACAGCAGTAGTTCCGTTGTTGACAAATACTGCATGTACGGCATCCATGTGCTCCTCTGCTGATCCGGTGTCGTCACTCCATCAGTGGAGCATTCCCGGCTTATTCATTCCGTCGGTCCGATCTTCGTTTGGACTTTTTCTATGTCTTCTGTTTTTCCTTTTTCTTGCCCCACTGGTGTCACCTTGTGGTATGCCGTACATGGTGCCGCAACCGCTACCCCAACGACGAACGGCAGGCCGTGCTGAGCAAGATCCGGGACAGGTTCGGCGGCAACCTCAAGGTGTCGTTCGTCGGTGGGGCGGCCACCAACATGGAGGTGCTCAACTTCTTCGAGAACATCGACATCAAGATCCTCGAAGGATACGGCCTCACCGAGACATCCCCGATGGTAACCGTCAACACGCCCGAACAGGTACATGTGATACATGCTGGGCACGACGGGAGGGAGGGAGGCAGTGGGTTTCGATTGTTGCCTGCCTCCTTGATGTGGTGCTGCCGCCGTCTGGTGGGGAGGTTTCACGGTGACCCGTGCACGAGGCGGGTGTCGCATTGGACAACGCCGTTATTCGTCGTGGTACATGTAGTGTGTACGCTGCGCCCCTTGTGCTAAGGGGTGTTATCGAGTGGACAAAGAACAAGACGGGTTGCGGTGGTGGTGTCACTGTCTGATGGGGTGGATGCATGGTGAACCCGATTGTTGGTCGGCCGGTGAACACCCTTATGGTTGTCGAGACAAACAAAATGTTTGGTTATACGAGAAATTTTTTCTTCATTCATGTGGTATTGTAGGGTTTTCATTGCCTACTTCAAATTGCATTGTGTGGGCGGGCCCCCGCTTGGCATAACATGTCTGGCGGTTTCGATCGTTCTTGAAACAGGAATTCCGAAGGCTTGGGTCGACGGGACGCTGCTTGGCGGACGTGACCGTCAAGATCATGATGGGAGGGGAGGAGATGCCCGCTGGAGAGGTGAGAAGTACTGTATAGGTCCCCCCGCCTGGTTTATTTTGCCTCGCACAAGGTAGTGCTTAAGAGAGACATGCCGTGTACAAGTCATCGCGACATATGTGGGGGGGGATAAGAAAGCACGGAAATACTTGCGTTAACAGCGTTTTTTTTTGTGACATGTTGCATCACCAGGTTTCAATCCAACAAGAAAGGCACAGAATGATATCGTAAGGGCTGTATACACGATAGGGAACCGTGAAGCCCGCGGTATTTGTTCGGGTTGGGTGCTTGAGCGAAGCGCGGTGATGACCAACCGAAATGTTTCCAGCTCTAGATGCCAACTTATGCTTTGTGCACGCTTCGTCCGTCGCTTGTTGAAACGTTCGCCTTTCCTGTGAAACAGGAAGGTGAGGTCTGCGTTAGCGGGCCCAACGTGATGCAGGGCTACAACAACCTCCCGGAGGCATCCGCGGAGGTGCTGTTCGACCTCGACGGACAGAGGCAAGCGGGAACAGTAGCAGCTAAAGGCTAGAAGTAGAAGCGAGATGCTCCGTCCCGGAAGCGCACGTGCAAACCCGGCAGATATCTTGTTGGTGTTGGACAACGTTTGGTGATGGTACGCCTACCAGTTGTCATCTCGAGAGGGCAACCGTGTTGATTCATACATAGAGCGTGACTAAACTCGTCCGCCTAGACTCGATGGGGAGATGGGACTGAATGAACGTTTGGGTGCGAGTACCCTGAAAGAAGAGCATTGCTTGTTGCGCGTTTGTGACGAAAAACGTCCCGAGAACCTGAAAGCTCACGTGGGGCTGTGTCGTTGGTGGCATCTCGTCCACCATGGAAGGACGGAGTTCTCGGCACTTGAGGCTGTACATGCCGAAACCGGAATCTTTCCGTCCTGTCACTGGCTCCTAGGGTAGTTACCCCGAATCTCACACCAGAACACAACTGATTTCCATGGCCACTTTGGGAATCATTTTCTTGCAGACGGTAGGGATTCGAGACTGTGATTCTTGCCACCGTGTCAACGTTTTTTTCGAGACTATGTCCCGTATCTTACGCCCAAACACGCCTGATTGGCACGGCGTGGAAAACCATCGAATCCAGGTACTTCCGCACGGGAGACCTTGGTCGCATGGAAGACGGGACGTACCTGCGCATCACCGGGCGCATCAAGGAACAGTACAAGCTTGAGAACGGAAAGTACGTGGTGCCTGGGCCCATCGAGGCGGCCATGACGTCATCGACCTACATCACGCAGGTGCGCCTACCGACCTACTAGTGTTCCGTCATTATACCTGGGTGCGCTTTCCTGCTGTGTGACCCCCGCTGATATGATGGCTATATCACGGAAAGTTTAGACGCGCGCAAGATATGCCGCACGAAAACACCAACATGTTCCTGGACAGGCGTGGTTTGTTTTTCATGTTGCCCTATCCGCGCACCCCATTTGTCTCCTTCACGCGTCCTTTCCATGCGGCCCCCATTTGAGACCTCTGGTTCGACCCACCAAATCCAAACCAAACCAAACCAAGCCGATAACCGAACCAGACCAATATCCAACCTGTTTCAGGCTCTCGTGTTCGGAGACAACCGTCCCTTCAACGTCGCCCTAGTCTTTCCCGACTGGAACCTCGTGAGGTCCTGGGCGGAGAGCAAGGGGAGGGCCAGCGAAGGCACGTCGCTGGAGGAGCTGGCTTCGATGGACGTGGTCAAGAACCTCATCGCCGGGGAGATCGCGCTCTCGCTTGACGGTTTCAAGAAGTACGAGGTGTGTGTGTCTTTGATCGTCTCTCGTTCCTTCAGAGAAATACCTGCGTCTTGGATGGTCAAACCGCGTCACTACGGTTGACGAACGTAAGCAGCGGGGCTAGAGATCCATAACAGTATATCTGACTTGAGTACTAGTGCTACAATTGGAGCTTATTCGGAGTGCCTTCCATAAGGCCGGAGCAGAGGCTTGTTTCTGTCTGGTGCCTTGGATGTTTGCCGTACGCCACTTGTTATATCGGCACGGCGTCTTGCTGCGATGTTCACTTCAGATGGGCTTGGCCCCCCTTTTTGCTCTCCCACAGACCGATGTCAAACCGTACGCACATATCTAGCAAGCACAACCGCAACAAGCAACTGATGGACGAAAGCCAACCCGCAACAAACCCCTGTCGTATCAGATGCCCAGGACCTTCGAGCTGCTCGAGGAGGGCTTCACGAAGGAGAACAACATGCAGACGCAGAAGCTCAGCACCAAGCGGCACGTGGTCATCAAGCATTACCACGACACCCTCATGCACATGTACGGGGACCGGGTGCACCAGAACCACCTCCAAGAACAGGCCGCCTGACCACCTACTACCCGGTGATGGTTCAAGATTCGGCAGGAGGACCCCCCTTGCAACGTCTTGGGGAATCAATATGGGGGTATTGCGACTGGGCTTGAGGTTTACGAATCATGCATTCACCACACAGATCGACTGCTTGGGGGGGGAGGGCTTTCCCAAAAGGAAGGGATTATCGCCCGTTGAGAGTTTTTTTCAAAGTGAAGGCATTTCGCACGTTGGAAGTGTGATATAGTGCGAACGCGTGCGTTCATTTTTGATCGGCATCTCAGGGAGAAGCAGGGAGGGGGAGGGAGGATCCGTGGTGCTGTGATGTGTTGTGCAAGACGTCAACTGTTGTTACCGTGCTGTTTGTCGCGGCCGGGTGTGAATAGAGAAACGAATACCGGTGTACGCGCGCGCGGGGGGGGGCCTTGAAAATTGTGAATGAATGTTTTTCTGCACAAAGAAGCAGGCGGTACCCTGGAGAAACGCTTGTAGCGGTCGGTTGGTTGTTTGGTGGAGGCGTGTTGAGGGTTAGAATATGCATTTGTAATAGACGGTGACCAGACGCAGCCATTTTTTATCTTTGTGCTCTTATGTTGTACGCGTATGGCTAGAGGAGTTGTAGATGACTGCAGAAGGCGGTGGGGCGGGGAGAGACGGATCGGAAGAGCTTCCCAAGCTTGGATACCCTTTGTAGATGAAGCCGTTGGAGACACACTCGTACAAAATAAATTGAGCGCTGTTTGTTGTGCCCCCCGCTTATCCCAACCCCTTTTGATAGAGGGTTGAGGAAGGGACTTGCCTGCTGCATGCATGGATATGATACCCGCGGGTCGAAAACTATAACTACACTCTCGAATATGAACAGACATGTATTATTGTCTATCCTATACTGTTTGTTTTGTAAGACAGCACGTGCTTGCCTACGGTGTATTTTTGGACGTGTGGCGGGAGAGGATGTGTAGGTCTTACCCCCCCGGCCGTGCGACCGCTTTGGGCTGAAATATCATCACGGGATGCATGTTTGGTGCTGGCATTTTTGCTGTTTGTATGACCAGCCCTCGCTCCCGAGAGGTGGTCCAGTTTAGATTTGTCTCCATCTTGCTCGATATAGGCTACTTGTTCGAAGTCCAAGGCTTCCATTTCCTATCACATCTTGACGACCATTGGTTGTACATATGTATACGACAGCGCATGAGTTGACCGTAAGATGAGGCCACTGTAGAGTCGAGGATGACAAAGGGCTATTGTGTGGTCAGGAGAGAGTCTAAGTGAGAACGTTGTACATCGTTTGAACTAAGTATCGCTTGTTTGGGAACAGGCAGGTTGTGCCGATTTTTTTCATGGCGAACGATGACTGACAGAATGAAAGTTTCTTCGGGGCTTGGAAACATTGCCTGCCATGGAGCAGCAGACCTTGCTCGAGGCCGTGGGCGAGACGTGGAACTTGTGCCCGTCTGTGTGGTCGGGAAGTCTAAGCTTACATGAACGTAGACAGTACAGAGCACACAAGGTCTGGCTCTGCAAGTAGGGACACCGAGATGCAGTATGCGCGCGCCTAGAGCACCACATTCTCATGCTGTCTGAACTCTTCCAGAGAACCTACCCCTGAGTCTCGACGGACGTCCACGAGACTTCGGGAGGATGCGTGTTCTCTGTTGCCCCACCGATCGGGGACCGAGTACAGGCCTCTGGCGTTCACCGCTGACGAGAACCCCCTCCCTGCTTCTGTTTTCAAGGGTCTGGCCTCACCTGCCCGCGTGTGAGAAGGCACACGCGTACTTGGCTAGCGAGCGAGAGAAATATTATGATTTCAGAGATTTCGGACATCGAGGTCTTCGCACATCTGGAATGGGAGATTTGTCTTCAGCCGGAGGATTTTTAGCCGGCGGGACAGAAACTCGGCCCCATAGACTTTTGAGACCACAGAGAAAGGGAGGGAGGGAGCGAGAGAGCAAGACAGAGAGAAGCGGCGGCCTCAGCGAGAACGCTCTATGACGGGGATCCTACCGAAGAATAATTCTCCGTGAATGAATACCCGCCCTCAAAAGCGCCACCCAATGTCGCAGAAGCACATGTATGCGATATCGATTTGTGGGCCTTCGCGGTTTGAATTTCCGCGTACCCTTTGCCCCGACGCTTCTTTGGCACGATCAGGAATCACACGATCTTGCGATCAGAGAGTGAGTTCGAACCGGTGCGAGACTCCGGTCTACACCTCACGAACGTGTCAATGCCCGAGGATCTCTCCGTGAATGAATACCCGCCCTCAAAAGCGCCACCCAATGTCGCAGAAGCACATGTATGCGATATCGATTTGTGGGCCTTCGCGGTTTGAATTTCCGCGTACCCTTTGCCCCGACGCTTCTTTGGCACGATCAGGAATCACACGATCTTGCGATCAGAGAGTGAGTTCGAACCGGTGCGAGACTCCGGTCTACACCTCACGAACGTGTCAATGCCCGAGGATCTCTCCGTGAATGAATACCCGCCCTCAAAAGCGCCACCCAATGTCGCAGAAGCACATGTATGCGATATCGATTTGTGGGCCTTCGCGGTTTGAATTTCCGCGTACCCTTTGCCCCGACGCTTCTTTGGCACGATCAGGAATCACACGATCTTGCGATCAGAGAGTGAGTTCGAACCGGTGCGAGACTCCGGTCTACACCTCACGAACGTGGTATGCTATTCGATGCACGCAGCGATAACAGGTGTGAGGCCAACAAGCCAATGAATGAACTCTGATCACCTTCTATCGTGTGAGTGTGCGGACTTATTTGACGACATGAGTGACATTCCATCAAACAGAAGCGAAGTGGAAACCAAACAGATAAAGTGTGGAGACACCCATTGAATGGGTAAAATTTCTCGAGGTCTGGCGTCGAAGACGTGGAACCGAGAATGCAATCCGTCGTCCGCCATGAATCGTTTCCGAGGAACAGTGGTGGGGGACCGGAAAGACTGTGGAACTCGTGCAACTTCTATCGACGTGGTGGCGAAGCCATGAAATTTCGCTCACAAGATTTTGAATATTTGAATCGACTCGCCGTTGGTCGATCGGGTTCGGATACTCCTGTAGTAGAAGCCTTCTTTGCCTAGCAACCGAGAAGACGAAGAGAGTTGGCAAGTACTATGAAAATCCTTTTCATCAAGTGGCACAACCTTCCCGACGTCTCGAAGACTATACCCATTTTTCACAACAATAAGAAGTGAAAAATGTCTTTCAAAATCAGGAACGTTCATTTTTCTTCGCGTTAATAACCATTCCGATCTCGCCACCCAGCCTTCATCTGTCTGTACTGATCCATGAAACACTTCACGTGGTCGATTCCCGTTGTCACAGGCTAACTCACCCCCCAAAGAGGGATTCTCAAATTAAAGGGACCCGAAGGGTGCGAAAGCCAATTGGAATGAAGAAACGAACCTAGTTTTCAGCCAATGCCGAGCATTGACCTTGTCTAAGGTGATACGAACGGCGCATTCACGACCCTACTTCGTCTTTTGTCGAGCGACGCTTCGTGGGGCGCTGAGAAGTCCCCCTACCGCAATTTGTTCGAAACCGCGGGCACCATGCTTGTCATAATATTATTGCTTGATGCAGGTAATTGATGCACGGGAGGGCCTGTACTGTATCATGGGTGGGACGGCTGTTCACGTAGACTATGCCGCATTTCGGTCCAGCACTGACACATACACGCGCTCGTAAGAATAGTGAACAACAGCCCGGGGGGTAGCCCCGGCCTCATCTGAAGCCCTTTCCCTTTATTGGCCAGGGAGGGTATATATTGTTCATGTGATGACGTGATATAATCATTGTGCTTGTTTGCATGTAGGAGGGGAGAAGCCCCAGCGATGATGAGTTCGTGATGCATGCATGCATGTAGACCGTCTGGAGTGTTTCCCGCGAGTGTACGATGAGAGAGGTGTTTATTGTTTTTCTTTCGAATTGCCTTTTTGCATTAATGTTTTCTCTTCACACGCGGGGAAGAGAGAGAAACCACGCCGACAGAACACGATTCCTGTAGACGCCCTCTGCGCCTGTCCTACCGTGTCTCTGTCCATTCATTCTACTGTCTCTCTCTCTTCCCAAAGAAAACAGCCCGGGGTTTCTCATTCCACCGGTGTGGGGAACTCTTCCTACTGTACGGAACATCTCAGACGACCAAGTTCCCAAATGGTACTCTACCATTTACTCTACCC